TATGGTGGTGGTGGTGTGTTATGGTGGTGGTGGTGTGTTATGGTGGTGGTGGGGGTGTGTATGGTGGTGGTGGTGGTGTTGTAATTGGTGGTGGTGGTGGTGTGTTATGGTGGTGCATTTGGTGTGTTATGGTGGTGGTGGTGGTGGTGGTGGTGTGGTATGGTGGTGGGTGGTGTGTTATGGTGGTGGTGGTGTGTTATGGTGGTGGTGGTGTATTATGTGTTGGTGGTGGTGTGTTGTTTATGGTGGTGGTGGTGTGTTATGGTGTGGTGGTGTGTTATGGTGGTGGTGTGTGTTATGGTGGTGGTGGTGTGTTATGGTGGTGGTGGTGTGTTATGGTGTGGTGGTGGTGGTGTGTTATGGTGGTGGTTGTGTGTTATGGTGGTGGTGGTGTGTTATGGTGGTGGTGGTGGTGTGTTATGGTGGTGGTGTGTTATGGTGGGTGGTGGTGTGTTATGTTGGTGGTGGTGTGTTATGGTGGTGGTGGTGTGTTATGGTGGTGGTGGTGTGTTATGGTGGTGGTGGTGTGTTATGGTGGTGGTGGTGTGTTATGGTGGTGGTGGTGTGTTATGGTGGTGGTGGTGTGTTATGGTGGTGGTGGTGTGTTATGGTGGTGGTGGTGGTGTGTTATGGTGGTGGTGGTGTGTTATGGTGGTGGTGGTGTGTGTTATGGTGGTGGTGGTGTTTGTGTTCCTCTTCTCTTCGTCCTCCTCTCCTGGCCTTCCTCCCTTGTCCTCCTCTCCTGGCCTTCCTCCCCTTGTCCTCCTCTCCTCGCCTTCCTCCCCTTCCTCCCTCTCCTGGCCTTGTCCCCCTTGTCCTCCTCCTCCTTCCTCCCCTTGTCCTCCTCTCCTCGCCTTCCTCCCCTTGTCCTCCTCTCCTCGCCTTCCCTCACCTTGTCCTTCTCTCCTCGCCTTCCTCCCCTTGTCCTCCTTGTCCTCCTCTCTCGCCTTCCTCCCTTGTCCTCCTCCCCTCTCCTTATAGACACCGTTCTCATCCTCCTCTCTCTCCCCTTCTACCTTTCCCTTCTTCCCCTGTGACAGTTCTCTCCTCACCTTCACCTCTTACCGTTCATCATCTGCCCTCTCTTGACCTACACTCTCCCCTCCCTACACCCTCTCCTTTCCCTACACCCTTTCTCTCCCCACCCTCTCCCCTCTCCCCCACCCCTCTCCTCTCCCCACCTCTCTCTCCCCTACTCTCTCCCTCCCCTACACCCCTCTCCTCTCCAACACCCTCTCCTCTCCCCACCCTCTCTCTCCCCTACACCCCTCTCCCCTCCCCTACACCTCTCCTCTCCCCTACACCCTCTCCTCTCCCCTACACCCTCCTCTCCCCCTACACCCTCCTCTCCCTACACCTCTCCTCTCCTACACCTCTCCTCTCCCCTACTCTCTCTCCCTTCCCCACCTCTCCTCTCCTACACCTCTCCTCCCCACCCTCCTCCCCTACACCTCTCCCTCTCCCTACCTCTCCTCACCCCACCCTCTCCTCTCCCCTACATCCTCTTCTCTCCCCCTATCCTTCTCCTCTCCCCACCCCCTCTCCTCTCCCCCCCCCTCTCCTCTCCCCTATACCCTTTCCTCTCCCCACCCCTCTCCTCTCCCTACCTTCTCCCTCTCCCCACCCTCTCTTCTCCCCCTACACCCTCTCCCACTCCCCACCCCTCTCCTCTCCCACCCTCTCCTCTCCCTATACCCTTTCTCTCCCCTACACCTCTCCCCTCCCCCCTATACCTTCTCCCTCTCCCTACACCCTCTCCTCTCCCCACCCCTCTCCACTCCCCCTACCTCTCCTCTCCCACCCCTCTCCTCTCCCTCTACCTTTCCTCTCCCCTACACCCTCTCTCTCCCTATACCTTCTCCTCTCCCCCACCCTCTCCTCCCCTACACCCTCTCTCTCCCCTACACCCTCTCTCTCTCCTTTCCTCTCCCCTACACCTCTCCTCCCTACCTTTCCTCTCCCCCTACACCCTCTGCCCTCCCTACACCCTCTGCCCTCCCCTACACCTTCTCTCTCCCTACACCTTTTCCTATCCCCTACCCTCTCCTCCTCCCCTACACCCTCTGCCCTCCCCTACACCCCTCTGCCCTCCCTACCCTCTCCTCCCCCTCTCCTCTCCCCTACACCATCTTCTCTCCCCTACACCTCTCCTCTCCCCCACCCTCTGCCCTCCCCTACACCCTCTGCCCTCCCCTACACCTCTCCTCCCCTACACCCCTCTCTCTCCCCTACACACTCTCTCCCCTCCTACACCCTCTCCCTCACCCCACTACACCTCTCCTCTCCCTACACCCTCTCTCTCCTACACCCTCTCCTCTCTACACCTCTCTCTCCCCTTCCCCCCTCTCTCTACCCTCTCCCTCTCCCCCTCTCCCTACACCCCTCTCTCCTCTCCCTACACCCCTCTTCCCTCCCTACACCCTCTCCTCCCTCTCCCCTACACCCCTCTCCCTCTCCCACCCTCTCCCTCTCCCCTACACCCTCTCCTCTCCCCCCACCCTTTCCCTCCCCTACACCTCTCCTCTCCTCTCCCCACCCCTCTCTCCCACCCCTCTCCCCTCCCACCCCTCTCTCTCCCACCACCCCTCTCCTCTCCCCTCTCCCTCTCCCCCTCTCCCCTCTCCCCTCTCCTACACCCTCTCCTCTCCTCTCCCCCCACACCCTCTCCTCCTACACCGTCTCCTCTCTTCGTTCACCTTATCATCATCCTTCCTCTAATTCCCCTTCCCTCTCTCCTTACTCAGTTTCTTCCTCTCTCTCTTCCTTACATCTTCTCTCCTCTCATCCATTTTCTCCCTCCTTACACATTCTGTCTTTACTTACCTTTCCCCTTCCGTTCATCTTTCTCTCTCCCACATACTCTCCCTTCCTCTCCGTCCCACTCTTTCCCTCTCACTCATAAATTCCCACTCTACTACTGTATATTTCATATTTGCATAAAAATTCACAGCAATATGTTTACTGTTATTATTATTATTATTATTATTGGCTAAGTGGACAGCGGGAAAGAGTTCACGTGTGTGTGTGTCGTCATAGGTCAGGGGTCATGTCAAGGTTTGTAGAGGGACATGTTTCGTGTATCGATAGCTACTTCTCCCCTCCTCTTTCTCTTCCATCAACCTCTCCCTCTCTCTCCTATCATTCTCTCCCCCTCCTTTATCTTTTCTCTCACTTCCCATCTGTTTCTCTCTATATAGTTTTGAATTTTTGCAGCAGATCAGCTAGTTTATTGTGCACCTCATGTCCCAGCAGCAACAACACACTGTTTACCCGCCGGACACAGGAGTTATGTGAGAGTCTTGTGGCACATTGTAATTTGTTGCTGTGTTTGTCGTGTTTGTGGTGTGTTTGTCCTCACGCAAGCAAACAAACATACCTACCCACACGCACACAAACCCCACGCAACAACAACACAGACATATACATACAAACACACACACACACACACACACAAACAAACAAACAAACACTTCTCCATATTAACAACGCACATCAGGATAAATTAAGTGTCTTGTCTGACTGTGTATACACCATGTATACCCCAATGTACACCAAGCTCATACGTACACGGCCAGGCCCCTGCAGCACTAGTGGGCGGTTGAGTTTGTTGACATAGTAAGAGGGCGTGGGGGGCGGAGGAGACACAGGAGGGGTACAGGGGTGGACACGAGGAGAGCACAGGGGGGTGGACACGGGAGGTACAGGGGTGTGGACACGAGGAGAGCACAGAGGGAGACACGGGGAGGGTACAGGTGGACACGAGAGAGCACAGAGGAGACACAGGGAGGGTACAGAGTGGACACGGAGGGTACAGGGTGGAAACGGAGAGGGTACAGGGGTGGACACGAGGTGCAGGGGGTGGACACGGGGGAGGTACAGGGGTGGAACGGAGGGTGGGATGGACACGAGAGGGGCAGAGTCAGGGGAGGTGCAGGGGATGGACAGAGAGAGCACAGAGGGAGACACGGGGAGGTGGGGATGGACACGGAGAGGGGGGGTGGACACGAGGGAGCACAGGGGTGGACACGGAGGTACAGGGGTGGAAACGGAGAGGGTACAGGGGGTGGACACGGAGGAGGGAAGCAGGGGGTGGACACGAGAAGAGCACAGAGGGGCCGACACGGGGGAGGGTACAGGGGTGACACACGAGGAGAGCACAGGGGTGGACACGAGAGAGCACAGAGGGGGAGACACGGGGAGGGTACAGGGGATGGACACGGAGGGTACAGGGGGTAGACACGGGAGGGGTACAGGGGTGGACACGAGGAGAGCACAGAGGGGAGACACGGGAGGGGTACAGGGGATGGACACGGAGAGGGTGCAGGGGTGGACACGGGGAGAGCACAGAGGGGTGGACACGGGGAGGGGGTACAGGGGTGGAAACGGAGAGGGTACAGGGGTGGACACGGAGAGGGTACAGGGGGTGGACACGAGAAGAGCACAGAGGGGTCGACACGGGAGGTACAGGGGTGGGACACGAGGAGAGGCACAGGGTGGACACGAGGAGAGCACACAGAGGGGAGACACGGGGAGGGTACAGGGATGGACACGGAGAGGGAAAGGGGGGTGGACACGGGGAGGGTACAGGGGTGGACACGAGGAGAGCACAGGAGGGGAGACACGGGGAGGGTACAGGATGGACACGAGGAGAGCACAGAGGGGTAGACACGGGGAGGGTACAGGGGGTGGACACGGGGAGGTACAGGGGGTGGACACGGGAGGGTAAGGCAGGGGTGACACGAGGAGAGCACAGGGGTGGGACACGGGGGAGAGCACAGGGAGGAGACACGGGGAGGGTACAGGGGTGGACACAGGGGGGGTACAGGGGGTGGACACGGGGAGGGGCAGGGGTAGACACGGGAGGGTACAGGGGTGGACACAGGGAGGGCACAGGGGTGACACGAGAGCACAGAGGGGAGACACGGAGGGACAGGGGGTGAACAGGGAGGGCAGGGGGTGGACACGGAGAGGAGACAGGGGGGTAGACACGGGGAGGGTACAGGGGTGACACGGGGGAGAGCACAGGGGTGGACACGAGGAGAGCACAGGAGGTAGACACGGGAGAGGCAGGGGTGGACACGGGAGGAGCACAGGGGTGGACACGAGGAGAGCACAGGGGGTGTGGACACAGGAGAGCACAGGGGGTGGACACAGGAGAGCACAGGGGTGGACACAGGAGAGCACAGGGGTGGACACAGGAGAGCACAGGGGGTGGACACGAGAGAGCACAGGGGGTGGACACGGGGAGAGCATACAGGGGTGGACACAGGAGAGCACAGGGGGTGGACACGGGCAGAGCACAGGGGGTGGACACGGGGAGAGCACAGGGGGTGGACACAGGAGGAGCACAGGGTGGACACGGGGAGAGCACAGGGGGTGGACACAGGAGAGTACAGGGGTGGACACAGGGAGAGCACAGGGGGTGGGACAGGAGGAGCAGGGGTGGACACGGCAGAGCACAGGGGGTGGACACGGGAGAGCACATGGGACACAGGGAGAGCACAGGGGGTGGACACGGAGAGCACAGGGGTGGACACAGGCAGAGCACAGGGGGTGGACACAGGGAGAGCACAGGGGTGGACACGGAGAGAGCACAGGGGTGGGACACGGGGAGAGCAGGGGTGGACACGGGGAGAGCACAGGGGGTGGACAGGCAGAGCACAGGGGTGGACACAGGGAGAGCACAAGGGGGTGGACACGAGGAGAGCACAGGGGGTGGACACGGGAGAGAGCACAGGGGGTGGACACGGGAGAGAGCACAGGGGGGACACGAGGAGAGCACAGGGGTGACACGAGGAGAGCACAGGGGTGGACACAGGAGAGAAGGAGTGTAGACACGGGAGGGGTACAGGGGGTGGACACAGGAGAGCACAGGGGTGGACACAGGAGAGCACAGGGGGTGGACACGAGGAGAGCACAGGGGGGTGGACACGAGGGAGAGCACAGGGGGGTGGACACGAGGGAGAGCACAGGGGGTGGACACGAGGAGAGAGCACAGGTGGACACGAGGAGAGCACAGGGGTAGACACGGGGAGGGGTACAGGGGTGGACACAGGAGAGCACAGGGGTGGACGAGGAGAGCACAGGGGTGGACACGAGGAGAGCACAGGAGTGTAGACACGGGAGGGTACAGGGGTGGACACAGGGAGAGCACAGGGGTGTGGGACGCAGGAGAGCACAGGGGGGTGGACAGAGAGCACAGGAGTGTAGACACGGGAGGGTACAGGGGGTGGACACAGGAGAGCACAGGGGTACACGAGGAGAGCACAGGGGGTAGACACAGGAGAGCACAGGGGTGGACACAGGGAGAGCACAGGGGGTGGACACGAGGGAGAGGCCAGGGGTGGGACACGAGGAGCACAGGTGGGACACGGGAGAGCACAGGGGGTGGACACGGGAGGCACAGGGTGGACACAGGGAGAGCACAGGGGACACGAGGAGAGCACAGGGGGTGGACACAGGGAGAGCACAGGGGGTGGACACGGAGGAGAGCACAGGAGTGTAGACACGGGAGGGGCACAGGGGTGGACACAGGAGAGCACAGGTGGACACGAGGAGAGCACAGGGGGTAGACACAGGAGAGCACAGGGGGTGGGACACGAGGAGAGCACAGGAGGTAGACACGGGGAGGGTACAGGGGTGGACACAGGAGAGCACAGGGGTGGGACACGAGGAGAGCACAGGGGGTGGACACAGGGAGAGCACAGGGGTGGACACGAGGAGAGCACAGGAGGTGGAGAGACAGGGAGGGTACAGGGGTGGACACAGGAGAGCACAGGGGGTGGACACGAGAGAGCACAGGGGGGGGACACAGGAGAGCACAGGGGTGGACACGGGGAGAGCAGGAAGGTAGACACGAGGGTACAGGGGTGGACACGGGAGGGCACAGGTGGACACAGGAGGGCACAGGGGACACGAGGAGAGCACAGGGGTGGACACAGGAGAGCACAGGGGGTAGACACAGGAGAGCACAGGGTGGACACAGGGAGAGCACAGGGGGTGGACACGAGGAGAGCACAGGGGGTAGACACGGGGAGGGTATAGGGGTGGACACAGGAGAGCACAGGGGTGGACACGAGGAGAGCACAGAGGGGTAGACAGAGAGCACAGGGGTGGGACACGAGGAGAGCACAGGGGTGGACACGGGGAGAGCACAGGGGGTGGAATGAGGAGAGCACAGGGGGGTGGACACAGGGAGAGCACAGGAGAGCACAGGGGTGGACACGAGGAGACACAGGGGTAGACACAGGGAGGCTAGGGGGTGGACACGAGGAGAGCACAGGGGGGAAGGGAGGGCACAGGGGTGACACAGGAGAGCACAGGGGTGGGACACGAGAGCACAGGGGTAGACACAGGAGAGCACAGGTGGACACGAGGAGCACAGGGGTGTAGACACGGGGAGGGTACAGGGTGGGACACAGGAGAGCACAGGGGTGGGACACGAGGAGAGCACAGGGGGTGGACAGGGGAGGGTGAACGAGGAGACCAGAGAGTGTAGACACGGGGAGGGCACAGGGGTGACAGGAGAGCACAGGGGTGACACGAGGAGAGCACAGGGGGGTGGGACAGGGGAGAGCACAGGGGGTGGGACACAGGGAGGGGTGCAGGTGGACAGGGAGAGCACAGGAGTGTGGAGACACGGGGAGGGCACAGGGGGGACACAGGAGAGCACAGGGGGTGGGACAGGAGAGCACAGGAGTGGACACGGGGAGGGCACAGGGGTGGGACACAGGAGAGCACAGGGGGTGGACACAGAGAGCACAGGGGTGTGTAGACACGGGGAGGGGGGCTAGGGGTGGACACAGGGAGAGCACAGGGGGTGGACACAGGGAGAGCACAGAGGTAGACACGGGGAGGGCACAGGGGGTGACAGGAGAGCACAGGGTGGACACAGGGAGAGCACAGGGGTGGACACAGGAGACAGGGGTGGACACGGGGAGAGCACAGGGGGTGGACACGGGGGAGAGCACAGGGGTGGACACAGGAGAGCACAGGGGGTGACACGGGGAGAGCACAGGGGGTGGACACGGAGGAGAGCACAGGGGTAGACACAGGGAGAGCACAGGGGGTGGACACGAGGAGAGCACAGGGGTGGGACAAGGAGAGAGCACAGGGGGTGGGACACGAGGGAGAGCACAGGGGTGGACACGGGGAGAGCACAGGGGGTGACACGAGGAGAGCACAGGGGGTGGACACGAGGAGAGCACAGGGGGACAAGGAGAGAGCACAGGGGTGGGATGGGAGCACAGGGGACAGAGAGCACAGGGGGTGGACACGAGGAGAGCACAGGGGTGGTGACACGGGAGGGAGGGGCAGGGGGTGGACACGAGGAGAGCACAGGGGTGGACACGGGGAGGGTACAGGGGGTGTAGACACGGGAGGGTACAGGGGTGGACAGGAGACAGGGGGGTGGACACAGGAGAGCACAGGGGTGAGACACGGGAGGGGCACAGGGGGTGACACAGGAGAGCACAGGGGGCACACGAGAGCACAGGGGTGGGACACGGAGAGAGCACAGGGGGGGACGAGGAGAGCACAGGGGTGTGAGACACGGGGAGGGCAACAGGGGTGACACAGGGAGAGCACAGGGGTGGACACGAGAGAGCACAGGGGTGACACAGGGAGAGCACAGGGGGTGGACACGAGGAGAAGCACAGGGGTGTAGACACGGGGAGGGGTACAGGGGTGGGACACAGGAGCAAAGGGGTGGGACACAGAGGAGAGCACAGGAGTAGACACGGGGAGGGTACACAGGGAGAGCACAGGGGGTGGGACACGGGGAGAGCACAGGGGGTGGACACAGGGAGAGCACAGGGGTGGACACGGAGAGAGCACAGGGGTGGACACGAGGAGAGCACAGGGGTGGGACACGAGGAGAGCACAGGAGGTAGACACGGGGAGGGCACAGGGGTGACACAGGAGAGCACAGGGGTGGACACGGGGAGCATAACAGGGGTGTAGACACGGGGAGGCACAGGGGTGGACACAGGAGAGCACAGGGGGTGGGACACGAGGAGAGCACAGGGGTAGACAGGAGAGCACAGGGGTGGACACGAGGAGAGCACAGGGGTGAGACACGGGGAGTGGCACACAGGGGTGACACAGGAGACAGGGGGTGTGGGCGAGGAGAGCAGGGGTGGGACACAGGAGAGCACAGGGGTGGGACACGGAGAGAGCACAGGGGGTGGACACAGGAGAGCACAGGGGGTGGACACGGGGAGAGCACGGGGTGGACACTGAGGAGAGCACAGGGGGTGGGACACGAGGAGAGCACAGGGGTGGACACAGGAGAGCACAGGGGTGGGACACGAGGAGAGCACAGGTGGGACACGAGAGTACAGGGGTGGACACAGGAGAGCACAGGGGTGACACGGAGAGAGTTACAGGGGGTGGGACACGAGGAGCATACAGGGGGTGGGACACGAGGAGAGCAGGGGTGGACACGGGAGAGAGCACAGGGGTAGACACGGGGAGGGTACAGGGGTGGACACAGGAGAGACACAGGGGTGGGACACGAGGAGAGCACAGGGGGTAGACACGGGAGGGGTACAGGGGTGGACACAGGAGAGCACAGGGGTGGGACACAGGAGAGCACAGGGTGGGACACAGGGGAGAGCACAGGGGGTGGACACGAGGAGAGCACAGGGGGTGGGACACAGGAGAGCACAGGTGGACACGGGGAGAGCACAGGGGTGGAACAGGAGCACAGGGGGTGGACACAGGAGAGCACAGGGGGTGGGACACGAGGAGAGCACAGGGTGTAGACACGGAGGGCACAGGGGTGGGACACAGGAGAGAGGTACAGGAGAAACAGGGGTGACACAGGGAGGGACAGGGGTGACACGGGAGAGCACAGGGGGTGGACAGGGAGAGCACAGGGGGGTGGACACGGGGAGAGCACAGGGGGGACACAGGAGAGCACAGGGGTGACACAGGGAGAGCACAGGGGTGGACACGAGGGGAAGCACAGGGGTGGGACACGGAGAGGCACAGGGGGGTGTGGACACGAGGAGAGCACAGGGGTGTGACACGGGGAGGGTACAGGGGACAGGGAGACACAGGGGTGGACACGGAGGGCACAGGGGTGGACACAGGAGAGCACAGGGGGTGGACACGGGGAGGGTACAGGGGGTGGACACAGGAGATGGACACAGGAGAGCACAGGGGGTGGACACGGAGGGCACAGGGGTGGACACAGGGAGAGCACAGGGGGTGGACACAGGAGACAGGGGGACAGGGACACAGGAGAGCACAGGTGGACACGGGGGAGGGGGGGGACACGGGAGACACAGGGGGTGGACACAGGGAGGCAGGGGTGGACACGGAGAGAGGGGGTGCACAGGAGGCAGGGGTGGACACGGGGAGAGCACAGGGGGTGGACACAGGGAGAGCACAGGGGGTGGACACAGGGAGAGCACAGGGGGTGGACACGAGAGAGCACAGGGGGTGACACAGGAGAGTACAGGGGGTCAGGAGAGCACAGGGGGTGGACACAGGGAGAGCACAGGGGTGGACACGAGGAGAGCACAGGGGGTGGACACAGGAGACACAGGGGGTGGAACAGGGAGGGGGGGTGGGAGGGGGACACAGGAGGGGGGTGGGAAGAGGAGAGCACAGGGGTACACAGGGAGGCACAGGTGACACGAGGAGAGCACAGGTGGGACACAGGGAGAGTACAGGGGTGGACACGAGAGAGCACAGGGGGTGGACACGAGGAGAGCACAGGGGGGTGGACACAGGGAGAGCACAGGGGGTGGACACAGGAGAGCACAGGGGGTGACACAGGCAGAGCACAGGGGGTGGACAGGAGAGATAGGGGGTGGACACAGGAGAGCACAGGGGGTGGGACACAGGGAGAGCACAGGGTGGACACAGGAGAGCACAGGGTGGCACAGGGAGAGCACAGGGGGCGGACACGAGAGCACTTCCTCCATCACACTCTCCTCTTCCTCCATTATACACTACTTACTCCTCCTCTTCCTCCACTCCCCTCCATCTTACTCCTCCTCTTCCTCCATCAATACACTCCTCTCTCCTCCTCTCCATCCACACTCCTCCTCTTCTCCTCCTTCCTCCATTTACACTCCTCCATCTTACTCCTCTTCTTCCTCCATCATACACTCCCTCCATCTTACTCCTCCTCTTCCTCCATTATACACTCCTCCATCTTATCCTTCCCCATCATACACTCCCTCCATCTTACTCCTCCTCTTCCTCCATCATACACTCCTCCATCTTACTCCTCTTTTCCTCCATTATACACTCCTCCATCTTACTCCTCTTCCTCCATCATACACTCCCTCCATCTTACTCCTCTCTTCCTCCATCATACACTCCCTCCATCTTACTCCTCCTCTTCCTCCATCATACATTCCCTCCATCTTACTCCTCCCTCTTCCCCCATCATACCCTCCATTTCTCCTCTTCTCCATCTACCCCTCCATCTTACTCCTCCTCTTCCTCCATCATACATTTCCTCCATCTTACTCCTCTTCCTCCCCTCCATACGTAATAAACCATCTGAATATCACACAAACTTTTATATTTTTTGTGAACTAATAACTAAATTTTTCTCTAATGAACTGAAGTATTTTTTTATATAGTTAATTAAATGATATAATTAGATTCTAATTATTTTTTTTCAGACGGGTGAATGTGCCGCCGCCGCCGCCGCCGCCGCCGCCGCCGCCACCGCCGCCGCCGCCACCGCCACCGCCACCTCCGCCACCGCCACCGCCACCGCAACAACAACAACAACAACAACAACAACAACAATAACAATAATAATATTAATATAATAATATGTGTAATAATATATAATAATAATAATAATATGAAAATAACTATAATGCCAAAAGGACAAAAATAAAACAAGCAAAACAACAAAACAGCATCAACTATATAAACAACAACGACAACAATAAAATAACTAAGAAACCATACAACAATAAAACAATAACAACAATTATAACAACAATAAAACAACAATAAAATAACAACAACAACAACTATAACAACAATAAAAACAACAATAAAATAACAACAACAACTATAACAACAATAAAACAATATCAATAACAACAAAACAACAATAAAATAACAACAACAATAATATAACAACAATTAAAAAACAATAAAATAACAACAACAATAATATAACAATAAAAACAACAATAAAATAACAACAACAATAATATAACAACAACAATAACAATACAAAAACAACACCAATAAAGACAACAACAATAACTCGGACCATCCACCTCGTATACAACAATAAACAGTGATCATAAAGTGTTCTGTACAGTTATTACTACCCTCAAATATTACACTTCATCTTATATGTATCTGTACCTGTACCTGTACCTGTATATGCATCTGTATTTGTACCTGTATCTGTTGTTCTGTATGAATTATATATATATATATGTATATTTAACTATATATATATATATATATATATATATATATATATATATATATATATATATATATATGTATCTGTATCTGTACCTGTATCTGTACCTCTATTTGTTCTATCTGTACCTGTATCTGTATCTGTACCCACATCATGCCATCTGTACCTGTATCTGTACACATCTGTACCTGTATCTGTACTTATCTGTACTCATCTGTACCTGTATCTGTACCTGTATCTGTACCTGATCTGTACCTCTGGACCTGTATCTGTACCTGTATCTGTATCACCTTATCTGTATCTGTACCTGTATCTGTACTCATCTGTACCTGTATCTGTACCTGTATCTGTACTTGTATCTGTACCTGTATCTGTACCTGTATCTGTACTGCATCTGTACCTGTATCTGTACCTGTATCTGCACCTGTATCTATTGTATCTGTACCTGTATCTGTACCTGTACCTGTATCTGTACCTGTATCTGTACCTGTATCTGTATTTGTAAAAGTATCTGCACCTGTACCTGTTTCTGTACCTGTACCTGTATCTGTACCTGTATCTGTACCTGTATTTGTTCCTGTATCTGTACCTATACCTGTATATGTACCAGTATCTGTATCTGTACCTGTATCAGTACCTGTATTTGTACCTGTATCTGTACCTGTATCTATATCTGCACCTGTATCTGTACCTGTATCTGTACCTGTATATGTACCTGTATTTGTACCGTTATCGGTACCTGTATCTGTACCTGTATCTGTACCTTTATCTGTATATGTATCTGTACCTGTACCAGTATCTGTACCAGTATCTGTATCTGTACCTGTATCTGTACCTGTATCTGTACCTGTATATGTAACTGTATCTGTACCTGTATGTGTACCTGTACCTGTATCTGTACCTGTATCTGTATTTGTACAAGTATCTGTACCTGTACCTGTTTCTGAACCTGTACCTGTATCTGTACCTGTATCTGTACCAGTAACTGTACCTGTATCTGTACCTGTATTTGTACCTGTATCTGTACCTGTACCTGTATCTGTACCAGTATCTGTACCTGTACCAGTATCTGTATCTGTACTTGTACATGTACCTGTATCTGTACCTGTATCTGTACCTGTATCTGTATATGCACCTGTATCTGTACCTGTATCTGTACCTGTATATGTACCTGTATTTGTACCTGTATCGGTACCTGTATCTGTACCTGTATCTGTATCTGTACCTGTACCTGTATCTGTACCTGTACCTGTATCTGTACCTGTACTTGTATCTGTACCTGTACCTGTATCTGTACCTGTACCTGTATCTGTACCTGTACCTGTATCTGTACCTGTACTTGTATCTGTACCTGTACCTGTATCTGTACCTGTACCTGTATCTGTACCTGTACTTGTATCTGTACCTGTACCTGTATCTGTACCTGTACCTGTATCTGTACCTGTACCTGTATCTGTACCTGTACCTGTATCTGTACCTGTACCTGTATCTGTACCTGTACGTGTATCTGTACCTGTACCTGTATCTGTACCTGTACCTGTATCTGTACCTGCATCTGTACCTTATCTGTACCATGCTCTGTACCTGACCTTACCTGTACCTGTATCTGTACCTATACCTGTATCAACAACTTTCATCTATATCTGTATCTGTACCAGTATCTGCACCTGTATCTGTACCTTTTACCTGTACCTGTATCTGTACCTGTACCTCTATCTGTAACTACATCTGTATCTCATCTGTACCTGTATCTGTACCTGTACCTGTATGTGTACCTGTATCTGTACCTGTATCTGTACCTGTACCTGGATCTATACC